CCCATCCCCAGCAAGAAGCGTCGCAAATCACGCATTCAGATATCTCCCGATTCCGGCGACCAGACCACGGAGAAGCGTCCCACACGCAAGCGGGTCAAGGCGGTCAACAAGGACTTTGTGTACGATATGGTCCGTTCGAAGCAAGATGGCTCCGGCACACTGACAGCACCAGCCCCCCTGGCCACGGAGTCCATGCGCGCCAAGCTGCGACGCCATGCAGGCAACGACGAGAACAAACCCAAGCAATGGGAGGCCTACATAACAGAGGCCAAGAAGCCACTGGTTCAAGGTATCACACGTCGCATTATGCTGGAGCTTGTCAGCCAAGGACGCGCAGTGTCTGCCACGCTGCCAGAGCTGCCATCCGAGCGGCCGCAGATACGACCGCGCCTCATCTCCCACACACGCAGCGAAAGCCAGCAGCTGCAGCAGCAGGATGTGGTGGAGCCCGAGAGTTTTTTTGAGAAGATTGCAAAGCGTACGGCAGCCGGCGGCAAGGACGCCGTCATAAGTAACCTGTGGAACAAGGTCAACACAGCGAGGGCCCAGCAGCAAGGGTTGCCCAAGAAGGAGGAATCTAAATCGGAGTGCCCAATGGGGAGCACGCCGCCCAATAGCAAACCGACTCCATTGGAGTCACCGCCATCGCCACCTCGCAAAAGCCAGGCCACCGTTTCAGCCGTCTCAGCTGTGACACCCACCCAGGTGACACCGACATCAACACCAACACCAATGCCCAAGCCAGCGCCGTTTCAGTCATCATCCGCTGGTATGGAATGCCTGAGCAGCAACAGCAGCCAAGCGGCCAAATTTCCGGCATTACCGAAGCCGCCATCCGTTCTGCAGGCAGCTGCCAATGGAACCATCCAGCTCACATTGGATAGTCTCCTGCGCGCTGCCCTGCAGAACTAAGCGGAACCAGAAGTGGAAGCACACAACCGGAAATGGAAACCGCACTCACTATTTTCCACTGTTTTTGTCCCTTCCCTTCCATTCTGTACGGTTTTCTTGAAACTTTCCGCTTTTCTTCCCAATGGCGTTGCTGTCTCATTTAACATTTAAACACATACATGTAATTCACTGGTGTCCTTATTATATAAAAAGCAAGTAAGAAATTAAGAAACAGAAACTAAGTATCCCTAGATGGTAGATCGCTTAGAGTATTACGCTATGGAACAACCAAAACATATGGAAAATTATAGTATAATTTTGCAGATATTATAGAGAATGTTCGTTGTTTGCTGCTTGCTGAATGGCAAGACTACAGAATTTTTAAAATGTTATAGCTAATAATTTGTATGTACCTAATTTTATAGAGAACTGCAAAACTCCCCCTAAAATAAGGCCCCACAATTTTATATAACGTGTACATATGTACATAGGATAGGTATTGTATTGTATTGTATGTACAACAGGCTGCCCTGCCCGGCTGCTACTTTAGTTGTACGATATAGAGGTATACTGTATGCTAAAACCAAACCAAAATTCACTGTGTATACATCCTATGAGGATACTCGAGGCGGAGGATGGGTAGAAACATCTTGCCATCTATCATGCGAATCCATCTCGTCTCGGAACCTAATTAGCATTATATCCAAGAACATCACACTGGGACTGAGGTGCCAGCCAGCGTGACGTCTCTTCACATTGCTGCTGCATAAATTTGTTACTCCAAATGTTAATTACAAACCTAAGCGAAAGTTAAGAAAACGTTGTTTCAGGCAATCTGTTGTGCATATTCGTATACATAGAACAATGTTTTTATACAGTCGAACTTTTTTGACTCTCGAACCCATCTGTCACGTCCCGCGAACTTGTATGTTCTGTACTCTACTCGGTACGATTCCTAACAAACTTAATTTATTACAAATAAGCAACATTCAATGGCAAAGCATTGTCATGTTCAGATCCAGTACCCCAACGGGCAACGGTTTCAAATTTTAAACGGCTTTAGGGAACCCTCGACGGAATGCGAGGGAATGCGAGGAATGCGAGCACTAAACAGGATGACAGTTGACAGAAAAGAACAAAAAAAATATCCTAGATGGACCGCGATTTTTCAAGAATTAATATTTATTTTTGTATCTGTAAAAATAAAATTTCTGGCGACCAGAACGACCCGAAACTATTTTATATACATAATAGAGAGATATTTAAATTTTAAATTAATTTTAATCTCGTAAATTAATTTGTCTGCGAACATATTATTTGCACTCTATTGAGTTCCAGTTAAATACGATTTTATTTGGAGAGTTTTCTCAAGAGCAGTGGCAATCGCCTTTGGCTACAGACAGGCGCCATCAATTCAGAACAGTACCACCCTTCACCGTTTCCTGCCACTCCCAGGCATAAATCGCGCTAACTAAGACCTCAACCGCACCACGCCAATGGGTTTGATTCTGGCCTGACAAACAGGTGCTCCTTAACAATTTATTGGCAACTAAACAAACAGTTCGAGGGAGAAAAGTCCGCCCGTATATGCAACGTTGATTTCTGGCAAATCTTTGTTTAACTTTAGCACACAACATACACACACACACACACACATTCAAAGAACCGAACACCTGATCTACGTGCATGTACATGATATGTGTGCGAGTAGTTCAAAATATTTATGTATCATGGTACGAGTGTCCGTACTAGGTAGAGCCTTAAATCAAATCACCAAATGGTAATAAATTCTATGATAATCACCAAACGCGTTATATGTACTGGTAAATAGGGAAGGGTGGCCAACAGGTGTTCCAGTGCCAGGTCCTAGTTACTTGGCCCGGGACTAAGACAAATGTATGGAGGGAAATAGAGCAGGTCGCAGCTGTGTACCCCAGAGAGAGTCAGGACATGGCAGTAGTGGTATGTTGCTGCTGTGGCTGCTGCTGCTGCTGTTGCTGCTGCTGTTGCTGTTACTGCGGTGTACGCTGCTCAACAATGGAAATGGTGTCACGGCCAGGAGTATGGGCGTGGACGTGTGCCAATTAGGAACGGGAATGGCCGGGTGGCAACCAAGGGAAAACCGTAACCAGGCCACACTTTAAAGCCAAGCGAGTACCTTCCCAGGCGCTCTCTCTCTGCGTGTGTGCGAGCGTGAGAGGAAGATATATTATCCTGAGAGCTGGCGAACATAAAACGCAACTGTGTGTAATTGGAAACCGAAAGTGAAAACGCCCAGGCCTTGAAAGACTCTCCTGGCGCTGCAAGTGCGCCGGGGCTGCGACACATTCTTAAAAAGAAATGAACTCAAAATTGATTTATTATTGCAGCCGAGCAGCACCAGCACCAGCAACCAAGCCAAGCCAAGCCACCCAGCCATGCCATGCCATGCCACGGCAGGCCATCCAACCTCGGTGGCCCAGCATCAAATTAATGCCACTTACAAAGGCATTACGTTCGAATAGAGCTAGAAGCACCTCGGGCTGGGTGTTGGGCTGGTGCCGGCGCTGGCGCTGGTGCTTTGTTGGGGAAACCAAAACGAACAAAATTTGTGCTGCATAAACTGATTAAGTGATTTCAGGTTCAGGTTCATGTTCACGTTCAGGTTTTACATGCAGACGAGCATCAACATCAAACAAATGGCAGCCACAACGCGACACTGGGACCTGGGACCTGGGACCTGGGAACTGCCAGCTGACATTGAAAGACGACAAAGACATCCTCTGGCGTGGACAAGATTGAGCCACCCAAGTGATGGAAAATAAATGGGTCTCCTTCAAGGCATTGCAATTGCAATTTCAATAAAAAGAAACCATTTAAAAGGCTTCCAAGAACTGGCGACCATGCCTCATACCCAATAAAGGAACATCATTGGACAGCAAGCCGACAGTTGTACTTTATTGCGTCGCAGGAATGAGTGCTGTTGACTTGGAAGTCGTCTCTGCTGGCCTGTTGACAATTGAATTAAAAATTAATTGGAAATCCTGCATAGTCCTGGAGACGAGAATCGATCTGTATATTCTGTTTCACATTGATTACATCCTTAATGGGTATTCATGCAAGTATCTACCCATCTATCTGCCTACAAAGATGCCAAAAAGATTACACTATAGAAGCCATATTCTCAAATCAATCAGCTACTCGTTGGCTATGTATATAATACCCACTTAAATGTCTCTACTAGCAGCTGCAGCATCAGCGACTACAGCAGGGCCCATTCCTCATACGCCATGTGGCCCTGTGAGAGTCACTTAAAATCAAATTAGGATAATTAAATCGCTTTCGTGCAGTGGGGATATCTTTCAATTTGGGTCACCCATACTTGCAATGGAAAGCTCTCCTCTCTCCCTCTCTCTATCCACTATCCATCCAGGCCAAGGGACAAAGAGGGGGCTGGCTGGGGCTGTGTGTCCCAGCTGGTTCCAGCAGCTGCGTCAAGTGCCTTTCCACCGAACCGGGAAGGCGCCCCAGAAAGTGCTCCCAACAGTACTAAGTACTGTTTATTTACTTGCCGCCCATTTGAATAGTGGCTCAGCGCATTATTACCGATTATCAGGGAGCGGAGCAGATGCTGCCAGAGGTGCCCCAGCCTCCCATTTTGGAGGAGTGAAAGACTGCCGGAAAGTGCTTCTCTGGGGCGACGACAACTTTTTGGGAAGTGTGTGTTGGAGTGCTAGGCAGCCAGGCCCTAACCTACTGACACATACCCGCCCCACACAGAGGGGGCGATGGGGGGAACGTGTGCGTGAGAGAGAGAGCAGTAATAGGGCCAGAGAAAAAAAGATGGAGAGAAAGCATAGAAGATGAGTGAAAGCAGCGTCCCTGTCTGTCATCTGTTGGCGGGTTCGTTTGCCGACGTGTTGTTGCCGTAGGACGTTGAAGGACACCAGAAGCAGCAGTAGCAGCAGCAGCATCAGCCGAACTGAACCGAACCGAGACGACCCGACCCGATCCGACCGACCGCCTGCGTCTGTTGGTGTTGTCCTAGTCCTGGCCGAAAAAGCTCTCGGCTGGTCTCGTCTCCGAGCTTCGGGGCTCCTCGATGGCCGTCGTCAGTCGAGTTTCGGCCGTCTTACTCAGCATAGGTGTGCAGCGGACAATCCACCCATCCACAGAGCAGGCAGTCAGAGCAGTAGCAGCACATCCAGCAGCAGCAGCATCAGCGCGGCAGCAGACACATCTGACAGGAGGAGAGTTCAGCCGAATCGTACAACAAAAATAATTAAATTCACACAGAAACCAGACACCACCACTCTGCTGCCTCTGTCACCATAACTGAATTTGTATCTGTATCTGTATTCGTCTCTGTACCTGCAACGCATCGCAACGCAACGCATCCCATCGCAATGTGCAACTGGCAGTGACTGTGACTGTGACCTGGGCACTGACCAACAATCCAACTGATTGACTCGCTGAGTGATAGGAGGCTATCCGTATCCATTACATGCCCATCCAGCGTCGGTTGCACTCCGTGTTTGCTGTCAGTTTCGCCGGACACGGATGTGGAGGTCCATCAATATCATCAGCAGCAGTCAAAGCAGCGGAAACCAAGAGGCCAAAAAAGCACAACAATTGCAAATGAAATCTAATTAGCAATGTCAGTGTCAGATCTGCGTTAATCCATTAATTTCCAACCATCAACAGAAGCATCCATTGTCAGATTATATAGAAAAAGGCGTTGCTCCTGGCATCTCCAGCATCCAGCGTATAGCGGGAAAAAACGGCACAAAATTGGAGAGCGAACAAAAAGAAATTTCGTCCGAAAGGGAAAGCGAAAGCAGGCAACACTCTTGCGTTTCTGTATGCCCGTGACTGTCGGTGGCTTTGTATCTGTATCTGAATCTGTGTATGTGCCTGTGCCTGTGTCTGTGCCTGTGCCTGTGTCGGTGCCTGAGTGAATTCTGATAACACGCGCCTGGTGCTGACATCACTTTCGCTCCTGCTATTCCATTGCTATTGAGCCATTGAACCATCCCCATACCCATTATCATACCCCGAGACCGAGACCCGAGAAGCTGCCAATCGAAAGACCACAAAATCAATTAAACTACAACAAAGCTGCCAAGAGCCAATTATACGGAACGGGGAAACGTAAGGGAAACTGAAACGGAAACGGATACGGATACTAAGGAAAGGAAGGTATCAAAGATGTTCTCCATGTGCACAAAGGTGAAGTCGGAGAGCGTGGAGCCGGACTGCTCGTTCATGCAGCATCCCCAGCAGATGCAGCTGCAACAGCCACAGGCAATGGGTAAGTACACAACATGGATACAGGTGAGAAGGGCATAGGGTGGGAGAAAGTGAAACTGAAACCGAAACCGAAACCGAAAACGATGCTGGGCTTCAGGAGGCTCTGGTGCCACAGCCCCGAAAAGCAGCAGTCGCTGTGGCCTCATTTGGCGGAAAACCCTGAACTCGTTTTTCCTGGCCTGGCCTGGCCTTATTTTTCTCAATGAATTTCGCACACAGGCGCAGCTGCGAGTCTGTCTGCCTCTGCCACAGTCTCTCTTACTCTCACTCTCATCCCCCTCCCATTTCTCTCTGTGGCTCTGGCTCTCCCGCACCCTTCGGACCCCATTGTTGACCTGCCTCGTTATGGGGCACATGCACACACATACACACACACAAACACTCCCACCCGCTCCACATATCAAGCGGAATCCGGAATGCGGTTTCATTATGTTGCAATTGGTAGACAGTGCCACGCCCATTGGCCAGCATGTGTATATATGCACATAAACTCGTATGTCATGCATTAAATCATTAAGTATACTACACTGTAGCATCGCAGTATCTGTGCGTGTGTATCTGGGATGCTATTCCAGCCAGGCAACGATGACAGCTCGCTTCAGGCCACAGTTTGCAACGAGCCACATGCATAAATCATGCAACTACTATATACCAGCGCTTCCACACTTCAGTCCCAACCCCAGCCCCAGCCCCAGCCCCAGCCCCAACTAAGTCCCCCTCTTACCCCGAGCCTTACAGCCATGTCTGTACACGTTCGCCATCGTTGACTGCCAGAGAACGTTGTCTGTTGCAGCAGCCACTTGCAATTCTAGCTGATTTGTCATACGGATGTGGATGTGCATGTGCATGTGCAACGTGTGTGGCTGTGTGCGTGCACTCAAGTGGCACACATGATGTCCGTTGCCTTCTTATACAAGCGGCACAGTGTCCTTCGGCATGCTCGTTCTCCCATCATCATCATCATCATCATCATCATCATAGCCAGCAGTGGACACTGTGACTCTATAATCTATCGTTGTCGTCGGCATTTCGGTTCGTTGCGATGCGGAACCAGACCGCTCTGAGGGTCAGCCAAGCCCCTCGAGCCTTCGTTATCCAAATGCTGTCTCAGCTCAATCGCATCACCATTCGCAGCCAAAGCAAATTGTCGCCAGGACACTCGGGCCATAATCAGTTTGCTGCTGAATCAACTTTCTCTAGGGCTTGCGCTCAAGTGGTCCAGAGTGCAGCTGATTCACTGTCAAGGATTCTTCCGAGAGGCTCTTCAAGATCCGCAATTCGATGTACCAATCTGATTGAATTCAGAATGCATTATAATTGCAGGGAAATCAATAGGAAAAAGTTGCTTGAGGGGCCAAAAAGATGTTCTATAGCCCCTGACCGTGGCTTCGCTGCCTCTGTTCGTAAATGCCTTGGGCAGCTGAGTCGGTCGCAGAATCCAACAACAAAATACACAGTCTTTATAGAGGCTCTAGACTTGCTTTTTGGCTGGAAAAATCTAATAGCAAGTCTTTGGAGATTCCCGAAACTCGGTCAAAAACAAAATACATTGCATGTGCATGATACACCCTATCAACCATCGAACGAATCGGTACTTTATCCATTTGCCAATGGTCTGCGTTCAATGCTTTTCCACTGATTAAATTTCGTTGGAAATTATGGAGAGACTTAATCTTTAATATGATATCATATCAAGTATACGTATGGCGTGCTTTCCATCTTTATTAAAGTAATTAATTCCGTCCACCGCCAGCTTAATGTTTGCCCAACAATCCCCTGCAACTACTATACATGCATATACTCGCACGTACACTCTGCACTCCTGTCCTCGTCCAGTGGTAATGAATTTGAAATGCAAGACCCGGACAGCCCAGTGTCAGCGACAGGGCCAGTGGAGGTGACACTCAATGCAACACTGGGGGCAGGCTGATTCAGCTGGGGCTGAGGCTGAGGCATACCACACACCTGCCTCAACTGGCTGTCTGATTGAGTTAATTCCGAGGGAATTGCTAAATGAATTTTCGTGTTATATTTCGTTTCGTATTTCTTGGCCCCGTTCGCTTCCTTTTACAACAGAAATTTGCAGCTCCAGTGGCCAGGGGACGACCGGCTGTCCCGTGTTTCTCTGTTGTCAGTGCGTGGGCGACATAATCTCGGCTTTCAGTTCAAATCGAACGAATGGGAAATGGACTCCAGCTTCCGTTGCAGGGGCAACCTCCTGTACAATTAGGTCGCAGCCTATGACTGAACACTGGGCAACGGATGTGGACTAGATGAGCTTCGATTCGATTCGATTCGATACACGGCATTTATTTCCTTTTTCGTTGTCTCTGCAGGAACTGGCGGCAAACAGATCAAGGGCGGCTACCTACTGCGCTACAAAAGTAAGTACACCCGAAAAAGTAATCCTGAAAAAGTACCTGTTAGACTTGGGGCTGTGGCCAGTCGTGGCTGTGGCTGGGGCATGCAGTGCCAGACAATGCAACGACATGACCCTGAATGGTCCATTTCAAGCGAAGATGAGCCGGGTCTCAGACAGACAGACAGACCGACCCATTAGCACAGTCAGCAGACCCAGTCCCAGTCCCAGCCCCAGACCAGACCAGACCAGACCCGGGCTCAGGTCTCAACAGCTCGGGCGACAATCTGTCAACTCAGCACAAGCGACTCAGGTCCGCCTGAAAGCTCAACTCGGAATGACGCAGCATCCGCCCGGACCCAGAGCCATAGCCATAGCCATAGATAGAGATAGATGCCTGCACAGAGGATGTGTTGTGTGGGTGGATAATCTTTTGGGGGCCACATTCAAGTGTAATTACTCATGATTTGGCAGGGCTGAGGATTCTGAGTATTCTGAGGATTCTGAGGATGCGTCATTGTCAGGCTCGTTAGGGGCAGCATTGAGTAGTAACACGGCCGGGAGCAATTTGTGCTGAGCTTGTGGGCTACAGATTTGAGGATGATCCGCACTGACGTTGCTTGTTCACCTGCCATTGACAGAGCAAATGTTCTGGAATCGCTGGTCCGAGGAGTGGGTGGTTCTGTACGACGACTCAACCATGGCCTGGTTCACGGAGCCGGGACGCACCTCGCCGTCGGGCAAGATCCTAGTGAAAGAAGCGCCCGAGATGCTGGCCATTGCCCACTGGACTGGACAGATACCGCGTCGACCGCCGCTACCGGACGGCGTGAATGTCTCCCAGTTGATTGCACTCGGATCGCAGCGGAAGCGGTCCAAGGTCTACTGGATGCTGGCCAAGTCCGAGCAGGAGGTGAGCGACTGGATTGATGCGATTACGAAGACCCTGCCGCCGCCGCCACAAATCGAGCTGGTGGTGGACAAGCCGCACCTGATGAACGTGCTGCGACGCCCATTGGTGCGCATTAGACGTGAGTATATATAGCCAATCCGTTGATAATTCCGTGCAAATCCCCTGCCCACGCCTGCTGCCATACTGCCCCTGTCCGTGTCCCGTCCACAGCTGCCACCCAGTCGGAGGTGAAGCACCGCAAGGCAAGCAGCAAGCACCATGGCTGCACCTCGTCGGCGATGACCACTAGGCTGTACAAACAGATCCAGAATCCACTGGTCAAGAGCGATGCGGCCGTGGCCATTCTCAGCAAGAAGCCAGACTCGAAGGCCTCGCTGGCCTGTGCCCTGCCCTGGGGCCATGGCTGGGGATGGGCCACGTTGCCGAACGGCGTGTGGAGCGGCGGCCTGACCTGGTCCCAGTGCGAGGACACCTTCACTCTTCACGCCCTGCCCACCACCCACTGCACCAATCTGATCGACACCTCATGCAGCGGCGCCGTGTACCACACCGACATTGGCGGCTTCGACTTCCATTCCGGCGGAGTGGACGACATTGGCGGCGAGGACTTTGACTACGCCATGGACTGTGGCGATTTCATATTTTAAAAGCCCCCCACGCCCCCTACCCTCATAAGATCTAGCCTCTGGAACACTCGCAACTGGTAATCGCTTCGGTAGTACGTATAATAGTAGTACGTATAATACTCTTTGTGTCTTAGATGTTGCCACATAATAGGAATAGACATTGCATACAATGGGGAGAGGGCATAGGTATAGGGTATCTGAATCCTGCATTACGTATACGCCACATGTGTTGTAACTGTGTAACCCCGTAGGTGGTTGTTACTGTGTCCTGTGTCCTGTGCCCTGTGTCCTCTATCTGTGTGCTAATCGCGTTAATCAGTTAAACAGAAACCCGAGCGTAATGCGAACGTAATGCATTTCGCCAAAACATAACATATTCCGCGGAAATTCCCCCACTTTTCTCGGAAAACTACACAGACACGTATGTGGATGTGTGTGAGTGCATGTCGGACAACCAGATAAACACATACACACACAACTACAAGTACACATACATATATGCGTATATAACCACCAACCGCACTTTCGCCCCACCACCCAACCACACACTCGGCAATCGCAACCGCAGAAAGCATTTGAAATGCGAAAATATTTTTGCATCGCGCATATACTCTCGTATCGTATCGTATCGTATCGTATTGTATGTAAGTAGGCTACAAAATATTTTTGCACTCGAGGGGCAAACAAATTACAATAAATAATAAATAATGCATGCCAGAGACGGGCAGGATGGCACAGGATGCAAATCTGAATGAAAATGATAACGGAAACTCACACACCAACAACAGACAAAAGCATGGAAATACTTTTGGGTATTTGGAAAACTTTTGAAATTTATATTGATGCAATTTGTATGGAAACACTTTTTCAAATTGTTTTGCCATGATTTTCTAGAATTTTTGTAATCAACCCAGACCCCTCCCCCCACACCACTAGCCAAAACCACCCACCAATTCCCCCGGCAAACAGAAAATGATTTTTGTGTGCAAATTTTTGACAAATTTATACAGGTACTCGTATGGGGTATCGTACGCCGCAAGTAATTCGATAAAAACTTAATAGGAAAACCAAAGAAAGACCGACATTTTGATATATATTGGATGTTAAATGAAATTAGGTACAGTAAACAGGAAAACCAGGTAACTAACAAGTAACTTAAAATAGGGCTAGAACCCACACTCTAGACGTAAGCACTCGACACAGTCTTACACTGGACCCAAAAGCGAACCCGAACCCGACCCCGACCCCGAACCCGACCCCCTCCTTGTAGGACTATTAAGGCCAGTTAAGTTTACAAAACTAACTCACACACAGAGAAATCGACATACCCACCCGTACTGATGTAAAGTTTATAAAACAAAAACGAAACAGCAAGAGACAAGTTAGCAACCCAGGTAAAAACAAAATCACAAATGTATTAAGATACAGATACCAAAGACAAAGATACGCGTGTGTGCACACACTTGTGCGCTTATTGTATTGTAATCGAAGTACTTAGTTAAGGACAAATCACAGATACTATTGTCATTGTCATCGCAGCAGTCCAATCGAAAACAATCCAAACCAATCCTAACCAATCGAATCCCCACATACAGCGTACATGCTCGTATTCGTGTAGGCATCCGTCACATCCACACATCCACTGTCATTCGCATTCGTATTCGCATTCGTCATTCTCATGCTCTCATTCTATATTGATTCGAATTTGAATTTTCATTTTGAAGAACTTTAAAGAGCAATTTTGTGCGCCCCCGTGCGCCAGAATGTGACAAAGAGAAAACGCCGCTACGGACACCTTGAATTAACTGTACGTTAGGTATATAGAGAATGTTAGAATAAGTAGGATGTTTGTTAAGATTGTTAAGATATACACAGGATAGAACATAAATTACGGGTAAGAGGGCATACATACATATGTAAGTTTGCCCTCTGCGCATCTGTTGCATGCTGGTCCTTTGTATTTGTATGTGTATTGATAGCCATATATTTTTACGTACAACAATAATCAACGCATGCAGCGGAAACGGATACGATACCTTTAAACCTGAGCCTGCTACAGCCTTAGCCTTCACAGAACACAGAACACCACACACACACACTCGTACCCAATCGTTGTTATTGTATGTATACTCCGCGCACACGTAAGCGTTTGTATGTTTGTGTCTGTGTACAATACCTATATAGCCATAGCCGAACCGAACCGTTCGTTAGGTGTTTAGTACGGGGAAGACGAGAGATAACCCACGCAGCGCAGCGTAACAGCGCAACCTACGAGTATAAGTAAATGTAGACTAAAAGACTTAAGCAATTGTCGTTTAGACGTTAAATTAGAGCGCATTGAATGTTGGCTTATAGTTCTAGATAAAGAGACGAAGCGATTCGAAATTCGAGACACAAACATATACATGCATATACCTATACTATATATACACACACACATACCATATTATACATATATAGATGGGAATATCTTCACCAAAATGTTGTAGTCTGAAGCCTAATCCGAGTGTAAGCCGAAAATTGTTAGTCAAGAAGGCTTTTAGCAATGGACGGGAATGCAAGCGGACACAAAACCTAAAGCCTAAAACCTTAAACCTAAAACCTAAAACTTAATGAAATGAAATCTAAAACAAAAATAGAAGTAAAATCAACCTTGGACAATCACGCATACGCATGTAGGAGGAACTGGATTAAATAGTATACATATGTATGTAAATTGTTAAAGCTTCGATGATGTGGAGATGTCGAAGGAGTACTGGCCAGACACTCGGGCCTGGCCTGTGTGTAATAAATAGTCTTAGCACGTCCAGAATGGAAATGGAGTTGACTCCAGACTCCATGAACCCTAACTTATGTATGAATATCTACAAAATACTCGTAAACGTACGAATATGAATACGATTGAATTCGATTGAAGGGGTTTGAGCCACGTCAAGCTTCAATTAAGTGTCAATCCCCAACACGCTCTTCAGTTACACTACCAACAAGTATTTTTATAAAGTTTATTGTAAACGATGCGAACCATGTAAACCCAACCACATGTGTGTTTTAAAACATCAACTGAAGGAAACCTTAAAGAACATGAGTATACTTTAGAAGCAAATTTTTGTAGAATAATTGTACACGTAAAATGCATTTCCGATGTTAGCTGAACAACATAACAGTATATATATATATATATACACCCATAAACATATACATACAGATGTGTACTGTATCCATTTTTATTGTGCTGCGTATTTAGCCAGCCAGCGAGAGCAAGGAGGCGGCGGCCCCGCCCCCTTGGTAGCCCTGAAGGGGAGTACGAACCGAAAGAGCAAATAGAAGTTATGAATCCAAGCCAAGTGAATGATCCGTGAGAGATGGAACGAGAGAGCGCAACGGTGGCAAGGCCGGATGCAGACATTGCGTATACGCCCGATCTGCCGGCGAGGCCTTGCAGCCCGGCTCACCATATACCCGTTACTTGCAATTAGGCTAGTAAGTTCGTTGTTTGTTACCAATTGTCAGTTGTCAGTGTCGTTGATGTTGATGTTGAAGTTGAAGTTGACGTTGAAGTTGCCGTGTCATTGTTAAATGTATTCCAATTTGTGGTCCGCACTGCTGGCAGTTTGTCGTCAGAGAACAGAAGAAATGAAGCAGCAGCAGACCATACAAATTATACAAGAAAGCATACATGCATGCATGCATATACATATACATTAAATAGGTGTGCATATTATATACATATTCACACATACTCGCACAAGTGTGCATTGGCGTAAGGCAGAAGCATAATTGATTAAATTGAAGCAAAACCCGATGGCAGAACCCAATCGCAATGAGGACGGGTAAATCTTATGTACTATGAATGTAACAAATTGTAAAAGTTTTAAGCGTAGGCCGAAAGACCCGCCAAAGACTCCTGCAACCTGCGAACCCCCAGCCATGTCCTCCCTTCTCCCGAACTTTGGCCAGGGTCGCTCTCGAGCCGTAATTAGAGAAGTAAATATGTAATTCTATTGATGTGTATCGTATGTATATGTGTCTATAAATATTTGGTAGACGTTCACTCGCATGACGCCGCAAAAGCTCAAACCAAAAACGACAAGCGACAAAAACGCTTCAGCCAGAGAAAGATCTGCTCGAAACGAACCCTGCCTCATCCCTTCCCTTTGTTTGGTGCAGGTTCACCAAGTGCCACCAACCCCAACCCCAACCCCAAACCCAATCCCAAGCCGAAGAGCATGTGCAGCAGAATACTTTTGGCCAAAAAGAGAAAGAGAGGCTGGCAGTTAGAAGAGCCCGAAAGTCGAACGCTCTTATATGGTTTCAAGACCGCACAGCCCCCAAAGCACACGAAAACGAAAACGAATGAACATTTATGATTGTCTAACGAAAACAAAAGAAGTCATCCACTGAATCAGACCCAAGCGATTGCCGAATCTGGAATACGCTCACAAGTCGAACATTTCCGAATCGATTCCCATCGCAAAAACTTTGTAAGAATTTTGTACCAATTCATTTTTAGCCAATTTGCAAAACCAACATCTATGTGTGATGGCTTTTGATTAATCATGGTTTCGGCAACCGCTGAGAGACCTCACAGAGGTCTATAAATACACCTTACGCGCGGGGTCTTGATTCGATGACTTCAGGCAGGCAGGCAGGCAGGCAGGCTGGCAGCCGAGAAGAGTTTTGACGGAGAGATCTGCGATGCGTCAGGCGTTGATAAATGTAAAACAAAAAGCAAAAAAGCAAATAAAGATTAGCAACAACATCTGAGAGAACGAAACAACAGCAATTGAGCGAATAAACATTGTACATGGTTTCTCTTCGTGTGTGCTGCGAAATCACGCACATGGGCGGGGGGGAAAGAGTGGTATGCTGAACGCGGAGTGGGGTTTGGAGCCAGCTCCGACACGCCACCATCACCATCGTCGCTGTCTAGATCAGTTGGCGTTGCAACGCTCCCTCGATGTCGCCAACTTCGCAACTTGTTCGGGCCTAGGCCCGGCCATCGGAATTGGAATCGTACTCGGATTCGGATTCAGAATCTTGTCTCAGTTAGCGCGCAAACTTCTAAGCAAACAGTCGAGTCGAGTCGAGTCGAGCCGAGCCGGTGCCCAAGCGAGGCACCTCTTTAAAATTCAAATCGACTTGAGTGGGCCATTTGCCAGCTGGCCATTTACCCCAGCCACTGTCCTATCCTGCCCTGTCCTGTCCTGTCCTGTCCTGTCCTGTCCCCTCGTCGGTGACCCAGTTCTTGAGGTCTGGCTCTAAAGTTCATTTGACCCCCTCCCCTCGCTGGTGTGTCAACAAACTCGCGTGCCTTCTGGCCAGGCCAACCGGAGGACTGTCCCCACTCACGGCTGGTAAGTATATTTCGGCCATAACTGGAAGAGTTCTCGTATGCAAATCGCAGACAGAGCAAACAGAGCCGAGAGTTGGAATTAGTCAGCAAGAGACGACGTGTGCCAAAAAGCAGAAATACACATAAATTAATTTCGTGTGCGAAGTCGAGAGGGGAACAGCATGTGTGGGCGGCAATAGTGACGGCTCTATGCCCTTAAAACCGGATGAAATACTCAGTAGTACTCTGAATATTTATTGAAATAACACTTGTAGGGGAGGGGCTGGTAGATTCCCCACCCAGCTGGCTTTGATCGACTGGTTATGGAATCGGTTTGCATTCCAAAATTAACATCAAATAAATAGCTTCGGCTGAATATTGCTTAAACAAATATATATTGATAAATTTCAAACATTGCTAGTTGTTTTTGGTCCAGACTTTTAGATTCAGTTTTAATCGTTTCGAACGTTCATTAGAGTTCACTCGTTTTTGGTGCGCATATTGCTTCGAATTCAATTCGATTCGATTCAATTGGAGTGTTCATTGGAAGAGCCATATTCGGTGTGGCCATCGGCCCACAACTGTGAGTCTGAGCTGGGTGTGAGTCTGGGTCTGGGTCTGGATCTGAGCCCGAGTCTGGTCGCCCACGCACTGCATTATCCGACGATCTGTGGCGACTGTTTGCACCCTGTTTTCATTCACGCCTCCTGCCGACTTTTATTGCCTATCGTAATTCTCCAATCTGGCTTTTGTTTCTTTGCAGGCAGTGCGACAACCTCGCATGACTCATCGGCCTAAGCGGTCTAAGCCGGGTCTACGGTAACAAAAGCGTTCAAGCGGCTTACTCGCGTCATCGCCTTGTCTGTTGCCCACTCACCAGCAGTCGAATCGAATCCATCCGACTATATTTGGCTATGGCTGCAAACGGTTCCGGAGAGGGCCTGCCCTCAAAGCTGGGCGATATGCGGGTAAGAGTTCTCGCCACAGGAAGGCCGCATCCCGGCCACTTGTCCATGATCATCCACCAATCAGCAGCCAGATCTTTCCGTTTAATTTCCGTGACGCTTCCAAAAATGGTTCGAGCTCGATGGAGTTCTATTTCTGAAGTTTCCCAGCGGAAAGCCAGCCAATTAATTTAGTGCCTCCCCGTATTTGGGGAATGGGTGCTCTTGTCGCGACACAAAAGGCTCTCCATTCAATGCCATCTGTTGATGGCAGACCCGGGGGCGTAGGCGGCACTAGAAAATCCTAGGAGAGCCCCTCAGTACCCATAAAGGGTTGACATTAAACACACTCAGCCAATCACACACACACAGCATAGGAAAAACATTCCAACAATCCATCAATTCATCAATCAATCAAATAATTTACCTTGGAAAATTGGTCGCGCGCGATTTTAATCGCTGATTGGAACGGTCCCCCGTGGGAGGTCCTTTGTCACCTGAGCGCTTCCTTTGTTGCATTCAACAAATGCCGAACTAGCTCTCGCTCCCCCCCATTTAATGTGTACCTGTGTGTGTCCGTGTCTGGCTCCGTGTGTGAGTGCTGTACTGCCACGTGAGCCATGGCAACGTCTGGTGGCCGTTGCAGCCATTGATTTTTTTGTTGTTGCTATTGGCATGCAGCAACACCATGCACAACAACAGCGAGGAGGAGCCGAGGAAGGCAGGAGGGCAGAAGCAGGCTAAACAAAAGGACAGCAGCTGGCTAGTATTTCCGATACACAAAAGACTCTCTCTAGTATTCTCCTTTGACGATGGCCCTGGCCGGTCGGTCCCGAAGGCCACTACACTACAAACCAGGAAACAAGAGGAATACAGCAACAGCCTTATCTATAGGGAAATACGAGTAGGAGCGAAGGCGAAGGCGAAGGCGGAGCATGCCCACCAGCCCCGGCAACTATTTTGGCCCACCAGCGACGGACAAAGTTACCTTTGCCCAGGCGGGTCGTGTGGCACGGGGCTTTATGTACTGGCGGCACGTAAGTGGTGGGCACGGATTTGTTCCGAGAGGCGGGAAGTGGGAGGTGGGAAGTGGGCGCATGCCGCATCGTTTGCCCCGCGGAATAGACAGGCAAACAACAGCCCACACACACACTAAAAGAAACAGAAGCGGGGGGAAAAAAAACACAAGCTTACACATGTGCACCTAATGACTCCACTCGGGGGAAACGGACGTGCTAATGTCCACCTCAGTTGACACGCGCCTGTTGGCCGAGCATGTTGCAAGCGGTGGAGGACGAACGGATATCCATCTTTAGCGACGGGCTCGAGTCGGAGTACCTCCAGCACGATCACATATTGCCCCTCAAGCTCAATGAATCTTGGGCTGCCAGGCGGTTAGTGGCGGCGCTGAGCCACCTGCCACCCAGCGATGCCAATGGCAATGGCAATGGTAACAGCACTTCGGCACCTGTAAGGCCACAACCATCATAGAGGGCATCCAATGAAACAAAAATTACTCCCGCGCACAACTGAATCTGAATCTCTCTATTTGTTCGCAATTCTTCTTCCAGATGCGATTTCAGAAGGCGGAGGAGGAGCGCCGGCGGAACCTAATGGCGGGCAGGACTAGTGGCAATGGTCTAGCTACTGTGGCCCCCAGCGCTGTTTCGTCCAGGCTCGTAGGCAATGGGAAAGTACGCCAAATGTTCGATGAGCGGCGTCGCGTAGCTGGCATCGATCGCAGTAATCCGCTGAAGCCCATTGTTGGTGGGGCTACCACGCCACCGTCGCAGCCCGCTCGTAGCCAGCAGCCAGTTCCACGACTGATCAAAGATGTCTCCGCCATGAGCCTGAAGGACAAGCCAGTCTTGAACAAACGCTTGACCAGTGATAGCAACAACAACAACAACAAGTACAATCCGGCGGGAACTGTGAATCGGCTAAAGCCTGTGATTACGAGAAAAACGCCACCGCGTGAAGCGGAGTCCACTCCTCCGAGGAGTCCCATGCCAAAAGCAACGGCCAGAGCAAAGGCCCAACCAGCCAGTCGGGGGGCAGCAGTCGCAAGTAGTCGCAAGTCACCTCCACTGGTTCGAAAGGTGAGTATCATCCCATCCCACATTGCCTTTATTTTCCGAACAAAAAAATATGTTCATGTTGTTCAATTTGATTCCATGTTAATCCGTTTCAGGCCGAAGCAAAATCTCCAGTCCCCAAGAAAACAATGGTAAGTCGTGGTGTCAGGTGCTGAAACGGTCATACGCTAATCCCACTGTTCTTCTGACAGAGTCAGCCGCCTCCTGATGGTACGTCCCCCTGCCGATACTGCGGTCGGCACTTCAACACGGATCGATTGGACAAGCACGAGGGTGTGTGCCAGCGCACCATCACCACCAAGCGCAAGATATTCGATGCCTCCAAGCAGCGTGTGGGCGGCACCGAGGCGGAGAAGTTCACCGCCAAGAAGGGTAATAAGCAGACTCGCTCTCAGTCCACGTACAGCAGTGCCGCCCAGATAAAGGGCCTGTCCACGGGCGTAAAGAAAAGCAACTGGCGCAAGAAGCACGAGGAGTTCATACAGACGATACGATCTGCGAAGCAGATGCAGGCGCATTTGGCTCGCGGCGGCAAGCTGAGTGACCTTCCACCGCCACCGCCGTCGGAGAATGCCGACTACATACAGTGTCCTCACTGCGGCAGACGCTTCAATCAAACGGCTGCAGAGCGGCATATACCAAAATGTGCCACCATGATACACAACAAACCACGCCAGAACGGACCCACTCTTATGAAGAAGCGCTGACGACCAAGAGGTGGGTTCGACTATGAACAGGCCCATACGTTTACTTGTGATAAAGGAATTTTTGATGAATGAAACGATGCTAAACTTAAAACTGCGGGCGGTTTTGGGTCATCCTAGTCGGATAACACTTCGACATCGTTGTCATCTTCGAGCTGCGACTGCTCAACAGTGGCAGTCGTTCCAGAAGATCCAGATTTTTCTTTTTCGATGATGGCCTTTACGGCATCGGCCGCCTGGTTCATCTCCAGGCCCTCAAGCATATAGGCCCAGTTTTCCAGCGTGGCATCGTCATCCTCTGAGATCCAAGTGCACAGCATTTTCGAGCAGGCAACACTGGCGGTGGGATGCTCCATTTGATAGAACAGCAGTTCGTCATTGGTGAATCCTATCTTTTTGCCCACCTTCATCCAGGGCTCGCCAATGAGCGGTGCCACCTCCTCGATATGCTTGGCGGTGACCATCAATGACTTCTCATGGCCCGGATTCTCTTCCACTTCCTCTACAACGGGATCTGTGTCTTCCACCTCGAGATCCTGCTCTGGCTCTGCTTCTTGCAGCGCCATACCCGCATCCTGCTCATTTTCTGCGGGTGTACTTTTTGCTGCCAGGCCGTTGTTCTGCTCTGATGCATTGCTGGATACCGGGGCGCTTTGCTTGGGCTCTCTGTCGCGTACGAGACGCTTGCGCACTTGCTCCAAATAGTCGGAAATCTTGCTAGACGGCTGTGAGGGCGAAGTGAAGAAATGGGGAGTTTGTCGGGCAAGTAAACGCAGAGCACGCCACTCGAAGGCTGGATCAATCTTATCGTGAGGCGTTTCCAAATACGTTTCCAGTAAGGGCAGGAAGTTGCGCTGCTCACTTTTGCAGGCCTGTAAGTTGTCCGGCGAGTAGTTCCATAAACGGGTCAGGTTCTCGCTAAGGGAGAATTTCTCAGATTTTCATTCCGGAAAGTCAAGGAAGCGGGATGTGTACGTACTTGCCAAGGAAAAACTTGCCATTACGCGCAGCATCGCGCAGGGAATCGCCGAGTGGACGCTTTGGTCGCTTCGCGGGAGGAGGCTTGTTGTCTTCGTCGTTCGACGGAGGATCTTCCGGCTTCTTGAACTCTTTGCAGCCCTCGTTCTTCCAGTTGTTCCACATCTCCTCGCGCACCAACATATGATGAACCGTTCGGGCAAAGCGCCTGCCATATGGCGGGGTCTCTTCCAGAAGTTTATACACTCGCGGCTCCGTGTCTTTAATGAAATCAGCCTGTTCGGTTGTTAAGGTGTATGTGTCGCTAAAATCAAAGAAGCTCAAATTATTCAAGTATATCGTTGCTGAAGCCTCGCTTACTTACATTTTAAACTTGACGCTGACTTGAAGATACTGAAAGAGTATGAGGAACTGCACCAGGACGGCACGCCGGAAATTCGAATCGGAGAGCTGGAGTGCTAGTAGCTTGGGATTGGTTAGAAACTTGGCAAAAAAGTGATTCGCTTTGCTCACGGTGGATGCCACTGCGGCATCCACAATGTCATCGTCTACATCCATCGCCTGATCTGCCTCGCTGCCGTTCTCGCTGTTGCTCGGACGCACGTCTTCCAGCTTGAAGCTGGCAAATGACTGAAGTATGTTGTCCGCGTGCTGCAAAGAATAATCGTGTACAAGCCAGTCAAAGCCAACAGTTTGATCGTCACTTACCATATGAAACATCTTCCACTGCGCCTTGCCGTAACATTGATTGGGATTGCGAAAAAAGTCCTGAAGCGACCAAAACTTGCAATACAGATCATAATCAATCTTGAGGGGGATGTCCTCGGCAGTGTCCTCAAGCTCTTTATTGTCAGTGTCATCGTGATCCCTACTATCCAGTCCATACTCTGTCAAGTTGTCCAAATTGAACTCGGAAACAATGTTCAAGCCAGACCGCTCGGAGAACGGAAAGAACTTTGAGAGGAAGAGCAAAATGCGACCGCAGAAGACTGTGTTCTGTGTACGGGACAGGCGACGCAGAAGGTCGTTGCACATTCGCAATATGTTATTTTTGCAGGAAGCAAAGAATATCTCCTCCTTCCACACATCCACCAGTTCCTCCACAAACTTAAAGATCTCCTGACACCTATCCAGGGTGACCACATCGAAAGTGTCTATAAGGAGCACTACGGGAATGGTGTTGGACACGATTTCAGCCCGAGTGGCTTCCACAGAGAGACGCACCAGATCACCGATTCGCTTGACGTCGTCTTTCAGGCGCTTCATGAGGAGCACTCGAAAGGCATGGTCCATAGGCAGACGCTTGTCGTGCTCGGAGTTGGCAGTGTAGCTGTTGTACTCCTTAACAAGCATCTCCACGCTGTTGTCCTTGATGGCCTTTTCCAAGGCATTCTGTAAATATTTGCGATTTTCATATTGCCGGTTCGCTGTTTCGTTCCCGCCGATCTTTTTCGATTTCTCACCTCAAACGCTGTTTGGAGCGCAAAGTAATTTGCCGACTTCATCGGAGGCGGCTTGACGGTTGCTTCTGCAGTCGTGCTCATTTTTTTTCCAAACAGAATTACGAGATTATAGCCCAGAAACAATATAAAAAATATTGTTTTCACAACAGTACAGTGTTGACAGATTTTGAGCGTCAAAACAAGCTAGATTTCACAAAAACACAAGCTAAAACAAGCTAAAAATTGTAAGAAACAGGCCAAAAAATAGGCTAAAAATAAAAAAAAAACACATAGATATACACATTTCTAATTGTGTTATAATTTTATCCAACTCGCTATTACTCGAATCGGTATATTTATCGCTGGAACGTATTCAATTTAAATATTTCTCCGGTAATTGGTAGTTGTGGCATCATTTGCCATGACGACGCAATCCATATCTGTAAAATTCAAAAGAATTATAGTCGTATTCATCAGACAATTAAATATTACTAAAACAAACCTTATATTTAATATTGAGTTTAAGGATTTAACAGTCATTTTGTTCCTAAGCTTGGTCTTGGTCCAATATGGAAATGAGATCATTAGGATTTTTATTATTTTCGAGACATTTTCTGCTGCAAAAACTTGCAGTTTTTCCAATGTCTCAAAATTATCTGGAAGTCTGAAATTAAACAGCAGATTATTATTTATTTTTAATATCAAATCCTATTGAAGCTTACCTTTCTCTGAGTTGGATAATATGCTCCTTTATAAAATCCTTGCACCTCAATTTACAACGAATATACTTTTTGTTCGACTTGCCTAAAAATATATGTAGGATATAAAAAGGCAAACATAAACAGAGTGAAATTAAAAAGGCTAGATTTAAGGCTATAAGCATTTTCATAATTTTTCAAGCTTCTCCGTTTTCGATTTAGCCTTAAATAGGCTAAAATGGCAACACTGCAACAGTACAGAAACAGCGCTGCCAACTAGTTTACATTAACACCTTAGGCCACCATTAAAAAAATGAAATAAGGGCAATTATTTAAAATAAGCCAGTCAACTTGAAAATATGTTAATTAATCGTATAAAATTATGTGGGCATAGATAAAGGCCCGGTTGACAACATTTAAATCCTTGTCGCTGATATTCAAAAAAGTTCGATTTGGCGCGCACTACTCGATATATTTTTCAAGTGAGACCGTATATTTCGGTGCTGTTCTGAGGGTCATACTGTAGAAATACTGGTTTTCGCCGCGGTATTTTTGGTATTTTTGTCAATTTCATCAATCTATTAATTTAATTTTCAATGTTATATAGAAATCCAATAAAAGCAAGTATTTCGAATAGACCAATCATGTATAGAATTGATTCATCAATCGTACAAAATTGAGTGGGCATGGCTAAATGTTCCATATAGATAGTATTATTCAACGGAACAAAGATTTGAATCGAATTTGAGTTCGCCGCAGTTCGCCGCAGTTCGCCGCACTTCGCTTTAGCAACAATGAGTCTCATTCCATACACAAATGTTGCGCATTCCATACACAAAAGTTGCTGCAACATTTACTTGAAAACCGTATTTTAGTCAAAATAAAATACATTAAGGTAATTAAAAGAAGCAATCTTGTAGAAAATGTATTTATCTATGGGATTCAGCTAAGTGGGCAAATCTATATAGCTTGAAATATAGGCAATACCCGATTCGCCGCAGTTTCGCTATTGCAACAATGAGTCCCATTCCATACACAAATGTTGCTAATTCCAGGCACACATACCCTGGGGGAATGGATGTTATAGAATTGTGAATACGTTTGCCTTCCAAGGCTCAGTAGGTATCAGGATCGAGATAAATATACACAAGATACTAATAATGTACTTTAATATGTCTAAGGAATATCAATTTGAGAAAAGGTCTTTATAAATCACGTTTCATCTTCATATAAAATTAACAAAATAGGGTATACAAAGGCCTACACGCAACATAGAGACTCTTTTTTTGTTGGACTTTTTCGTTCAAACCTTTTTTTACAATAAATACAATAAAAACAAGGATTAAAAACTATCCAATCTTGTAGAAAAATGATTCATTAATCGTATAAAATTATGTGGGCATTGCTGAGAGATTTAGTTAGTCAGCATTATTCAATGGAATATCAAAATTGAGCAATATGAACGAATTTCCCTTTTCGTTTGTTTTGATTGACCTATTTCGCTACTTGCTTTTTGTTTGACTTATTTCGCTAAAACCTTTTTTTAAGCAAAATCCAATAAAAGCATGTGTTTAAAATAAGCCAGTCAAGTAGAAAATTGATTTATTAATCGGATAAAATTATGTAGGCATGGCTAAATGTTCTATTTAGCTGGTAATATTCAACGGAACAAAGAATATAAGGAATATGGTTTCCAATCCTGACGGAGAACGATTAACCTATTACAAGCCAAGGGGGTATTTCAATTTTCCACTGAAAATAATGAATATTTAATCATTTTAGCGCAGTTCAGCTGAAAAATATCGTGGTTTTTTTTAAGTTCATAGTAGAGATGGCATGAATCCTCAAGAAGAATTTACAATCAGTAATATTTTCCGCCATTTACCTCAAGTAGTTGAACTATTTAAATACAGGGGCCTTTAGTGGGCTAAGTCGCTTGCACGGTTATTCTGGGCGGCGGTATTCACGGCGTTCGCAGTTTCATATTTAAACAAATGTATACCATCTATAGTAAATTTGATTCATTTTAAGTCAAATATGTTTACTTATGTAAGATATGAATATCAGTTTATGAGATTTGAATATTAGTTTAAGATTTACTCATCGATAGTATTATAAGAAATACCAAAGTACTCGATATATCGATACTTGTCGAGGACAAGTTCATTCATATACGACGATCAAGAAAGAAGAACATATAATAAAACCGTGCGATTAAAAGTTTACACTTACTTTGGTATTGCATTGCTGTGTTGCTGCTTACAGAAGACAAATACGCAATGATATGAAATTAAACTACCAATGTTTTGCAAAACATCGATGCATCACTCAACATCGGTAGCAGCAAAAACATCGGAAAACATCAGTAAACATCGGGATTCTCGATTCATCGATGTTTTTTTTACATCACTAATTCTCAAGCGGAAGGTGTGTTTTTTTTTTTGTTAAAATTTTTATTGTTAATTAATAGTGTTTTTTCAGATTTAAACATTGAAAAATGGTTGCCCCAAAGAAGCAGAAGAAGGCGCTGGAGAGCACCAATGCGCGTCTGGCGCTGGTGATGAAATCCGGCAAATACTGCCTGGGATACAAGCAGTCGCTGAAGACTCTGCGTCAGGGCAAGGCCAAATTGGTGCTGATCGCCAGCAACACGCCCGCCCTGAGGAAGTCCGAGATTGAGTACTACGCGATGTTGGCCAAGACTGAGGTCCAGCACTACAGCGGAACGAACATTGAGCTTGGAACCGCCTGCGGTAAATACTTCCGCGTGTGCACCATGTCCATTACCGATCCTGGAGATTCGGACATCATCCGCTCATTGACCGAGAACTAAATGGAATTTTATTTAAACTTGAATAAAAATATGGGTTAAAGAAGAACTGCCCAATGAAATCCAAAGAAACGTGTCTCTCGGCGAATCTGATTTGTGTCTGCGGTCGTGTATTGTTTCTCTTTTACTAATGGTCGCGCTCTCTCTGTTATCAGTATCATTGGCAATGAAAACAGACTTGCACATACTCGTAATTTCCCATTTAGAGCAAGGTTGCAGAAATCTCATAAGTAGGGCAATGATTTATTACAGCCGCAATGCTATTTAGAACTAAAATCTCAAACTGAGCAGTCGCATATGTACGAACATCATGCGTCCTGGCTATATCAGTGCTATTCTTCTGTGGCTTGCTTTGAGCACCTCTTACCAAGGAACAGTGCTTGGCCAGCTATTTCAAGGGGGCGGCTACTACTATCCACCACCACAGCCGTCTTATCCTGGCTACTATAGGCAAACGCAAGGACCGAGGCCGCAGCAACATCAGCGCTCGTACAAGGATATTTGCCGTTTGGTCAATACAAATGGATTCACTAATCCAGGCGGAGTGCCCAGGTGTCCGTACTAGCCGTACGAGTATATGTATTTATAAAAAGTGATTTACATTTGCAGTTCGGAAATACCAGATAAATAAACTAAGAGCAAATAGCGCTTAACTATAATAATTAATAATTACATCCATAGTTTTAGAGGCTCCATGCTGGCCTGCTGTTGACATTAACTATTCCCTATTTCCTAAACGACAAAGTGAAACCCTTAAGCTACCGACTGACTTAACACCGAATCGTATACTTTGATCGGGGTCGCCTTCCTAAAACAGTCGCTTCTGTACAATGTAAAAGACACAAACAAGGAACAGACAAAACGCAAAGAAAACAAGCATCTTGTCGGTGCATTCGCGTCTACCGTACTTTTTCAGCAGCTTTCCGGACATTTTAATGCTGCCGGCTGTGTGATGCAGCTCGTCACTTGTGGCTTCCACATTCTGTGATGACGCCACTAGGGTTTCCAGCGTGACGGCACTTTTCTGCGTTGTCTCCGACAGATGCCGCGAAATGGCCAGCATTTTCTCGGTTACATCGTTCTCCTGCGACACCAGACTGCCCTGGTTGTGTCGTGCTCTCGCTGTGGTCCGTTGCCGCAACTCACTCTCGCCAGTTATGGCCATTAGCTCCTCTCGGTTGGCTTTTTCGATCTCAAGCATAGTCGCCACATTTGCTTTGCGGAATGCCTGCAATGTTTTGGAGAATTGATCCCTATGTGTGTCCACCTCCTTTGCCAAAGATGTGTCGGCCATGTCACGTGCCCAGTCATCCAAGCGCTCGATGCTTTTGCGAATGGCCGACAGCCTTGCCCGTCCAGCTTCATTCAGCTCCTCAAGCTCGGAAATGGATGTTCTACTGTTTACTATGTCCTTTAATTTGTTGTTTCGATATTATACTTTACGGACCGGGCGTTTCTCTGGGCACTACTCACCTGAATAATTGCCTTGGCTTGCAAATTGTTGTCAATGAGGTCTTGCCGAATGGACTGTAGCGTGAATTTACCCTTGTCCATGACTGCGGCTCGAGTTTTTTTTTATTTATTTATTTTTTTTTTTTTTTGGCTGCCCGCGTATGTGAACGTGGAAATCAGTGGGACCGCTGATAAAATATACAGTCTGACCCTCAGAAATATACCAAAATATACCGTCTTGTTTTCAAAACAAAATACGAATTCTTTGATATCATAGAGTTGAATAATTTCCATTAAACTGTTATTGGGTGAACGGGAACGTGAAAGTGGACGTAGAGGGCAGAAAGAAAGTGCCGAAAGAGTCCGAACAAGAGTAGACAGCAGTAATTTGGCGCCAGTCGGAATATACCGAGCTGGTATTTTTTAGTGCTTTACAGCTATCAAGCAAGTGGCGCCGCAAAAATTTTATAAATGCGAATTGCAGAAATTAACAAGCTCAATTCCCTATTCTCGTGCTGAAACGTGAATTCTCCTGTTCTGAGCCATGGCAGACTTTTCACGCTCTTTTTCGGTAAGACGACTCTTGTTTGTGCGCGTTGAACCTTACACTTATATATTTTTTGGTGTGTTCAGTAGAATTTCTCAAATGGTTCGTTAACAATTGACATATCATCAGAAACCTTCAGAGTTACTGGATCCGCCTTGAACGGGACCCCTTATACAAGTAGCGAGAGCTCCTTGTCAAGCTTCAGTTCCAGTTCAAGCAGCAGCACCAGCACCTCCAGCATCAGCATCAGCTCTAACTCCACCTCAACAAGCTGGTTCTCTCGCTCTGCGTCAAGCAGTCACACTACTGGCGATACCTCGGAGCATTCCGTTATGGACGGTAGTGTGGGATATGCTGTGAGCATCGATGATGGTCAATCTAGCCCGGATGCTTCCGTTTCATTCAACAACCACTCTGGGCAGAGTTCGGCACTCTCCATAGATATTTCCCAGGTGGAAGCTGAAATAGAGCGCAGTATGCTTAAGCCATCTTAACCTCATGCAAGGGACTAATTGTTCTGTTTTTCAGTAAATCGCTACTGCTCAGAAGTAGTCTCAAGCATGAGCCCTGAGACCAGTGGAACAGCAACGTCGACCCCACGGATGGCCCGCCGTGTTTTTCGCCCTTCTGACAGTAAGCCAACCGTGTTGTGGACTATGGTCCTGTGAATGGAAGCAGCTATAATTTTTCTGTTTTCCTGCAGTAGCGCCAGTGGAGGTTATAAATTTACTGAACGTGGACGATACACATCGTAGATCTGCAGCGAATCGTGTACCAGAAGCGGTGATTGACTTGTGCACTCCGATCAGACAAAACGTCCCAATAGCCACGATTGATTTGGATGACTACACTATAGCCACTCCTCCTAGTCGGCGTCGTAGCTATGCTAGCTCCAGTACTCCTACTACAGCTTGTACTACTTCGGATGTCGTCGCCAGCGGCGTGTCTCCTCCGAAGCGCAAGCGCAACGACCAAAATCAGTCTTCGGGCGAAGGCTACAAGTGCCCTGTTTGTCTGGACTGCGTACGCCACCGAGAGCCATCGTCGACAAAATGTGGCCACGTTTTCTGCCGCCAATGCATCGAAACTTCCATTCGCGCCACACACAAGTGTCCAATGTGTAACAAGAAATTGTCCATTCGTCAGGTAACACGTATTTATTTGTAAGCCTGTATTTTGATATATTACCAATGCTCTGCGAGTCATCTGGGCATCTTCCCAACTTTGTATTTTTTAGTTTTAGCTCCGTACGGTAGCATCATTACTTTATTTTAAAGACGGCAACCCAATGTCCGAAATTGTGATTTTTGTATGCACACTTTAAGTTTCTTGTATTACATAATAAATTAGAGAGTAAATGCTGAATCCACAAATCATAGCCGTTACTGTTTGCACTGACTTTCTTTGGAAGCTGGTTACATCAGTCGAGGCTTTAGTAACATGCCTTGTTTCCGCGGTTCTTAACTGAATTATAGTGTCATATTGCTGGGGACAGTTTCTAGCATAGCTCTGGTTCCTGGCTCGAATTGAATTTCGTATTGATTTGGCGAACAACAACTTTTGTCCATTCTGATATAGCTGTGATGAATACCAAATCGGAATGCACTCATGCGATTGCTGGATATTCAATGCGGGGGAACAGCTTCTCGGCGAACACCTGTTATCCCTGTCGCAAGGACTTCTTCAGCTCAATAGGCGGGCGTCGGGTGCAGGAACATCGGCTGGGTCGGGCAGCTCTCATGCTGAAAAGTTGCCCCATGAAAGTGCAGTAGCTTCGATCAGCTTACCCCTCCCCATCCTTGGGTACCCAACACATCAGCTTCAGCTTCAGCCATTTCTGAATGGTCGGTTGTTCAATCTAAACCAATACGACAAAATATTTTCAAATCAATTCTACGGTTAGCTGTGGCGCCATCTATTAGCTGTTGTGTGTTGTCAGTATGAAGGCGACGCTGGAGGCGCCACTGTTTCGGCATTTTTATAGCATATTTTTGGGTGAAAGATTTTTCAAAATATTTTTCCGCAACGCTCTGCGCAACATATATTTTGCAGCATGTATGAATTTACGTAATTCGATACATTCTTCAGCAACATTCTGCCCTTGCACTAGCGAAACTATGCATTAATTCGAAAAATTACGTTATAGATTTGAAAGTGGTTACAGCTGATTGCTATGATATTTATAAGAACCACACCAGCCGTCCATGCAATATAAAGTTTTACTAGTTGATTTTTTTCAGTATTTATATCTTCTATTTATGCTTAAACGCGTATTTCTGCGGTTTGGCAAGCTCTATTCGCCCAATGCAATACGCAAAAAAAAAACTAACAAATATTAACAAATCTTTTTTTATATAGATATTTTACATACCACAGCCTTTCTGAACCATTACTAACGTTCTCTTTTTCTTAAAATTTACATGCTAAAAAAGTCGAGAAAAAGTTTCGCTCCTATTACATTTTCGAATTTGTGCCAAAATATAGGACAAATATCGGCCGGGTCGAATGAGGAATTGTTCAAAACGGAATGCCCAATAATACACGACGAGATGTGTATGACAAGCATCGGTATCGGTCCGGGCATCAATTTGTATCATTTCTTTACTTTGATTTCTTGGGATCGACTTTTGAGCACCTGCGAAGACTGTTAATTTCTTGATGGATTTTTCGGACCGAAAGGGAAGTCTTCTCTGGACATTTCTTAGCCGAGTAAGCAGCGGAGCCGCGGTCAGACGCGAAGGCATCGACCGAAAATTGGAATGAAATTTGTTCTTTGTTCTTTGCTTAAATGGACCACAACCTATCAATCTTTCTGAATGCGTTGCCTACAATATTAGCAAAAAAACTGAACAAATTCTGGCTTGAGATAGAACAAATTGTAATAAACATGGTTTCTTTAGGTAGGCTACCATTCATAGTTACGTGGTTGCATAGTTCCACAAGTTCCGTTAGCTGTTCCTCCCTGTATATCTCTCATTGTCTATACCCCAGTTTTTTTTACCAGCAGTGGTTTTAGTTTTTTGAATAGAAGTATGAAAATAATCCCCAAGTTTTAGTGACAACAAACCAAAGCCGCAAAGCGAAATGAGATTTTTCATTTGGTATCAGATATCCGCAAAACCCAGCTTGGAAAACCCGCCGCAAACAAAAGAAAATGCAAAAGTGAAACGCAAACGAGTCCAATGCTCCGTGAAAATGGGCCGGGGGAAGGGCTTGGAATGGGACAAGTGCAAAACACAGAGTGCAGCCATACAATATGACAGAAAGTAAATTGCAATCAATTAAATGCGAATGGACCAGCAGCCGACGCAATCAAAGGGGACGTCATCCCTGGCCCCTGAACCTCGACGGCTAAAAAAGCCGACACTGCAGTGTACTGTGGGGTCACGTCAGCCAAAAACTGAGAAAAAAAAGGTTGCATTTCAGGCTAGAAAGAAAACATATGGTTAAGTCTTTAAAAGACCAACTTATATAAGGGTACTTTTAGAGCACGTTTCGCCCACGGTGCGGCACAATGGCTGCTTTGGCTGGATCAACGACTCGATCGCTGACAGCATCCAGAGACAGTTGCTGCCGGCACACGAAGCTGTTAGGTTGTCTCTACTGTTCCGGCTCTCTAAGCATTGTCTGTCTTTTCCTACGAAGCCATGGAGAACTCCTACTGGCGCAACAAGGTGGCTGTGGTGACCGGCGCCTCAGTGGGCATTGGGGCCAGCACGGCCGTGCTGCTGGCCAATGCCGGCATGTCGGTCGTTGGACTCGCCCGGCGAGTGCGGCTCATTGAGGTGAGGAGTACATCTTGTACATACATACGTACAAGTCTCTCTTATGCTCTTGGCGATTTTCTGTAGACCCTCAATGATCAAGTGAAAGGCGAGGGAAAGATCTTTGCCTATGAGTGCGACCTGAACGATGAGCTGCAGTTGACCAGCGCCTTCACCTGGATACGCGAGAAATTCCACTGCATCCATGTCCTCGTCTGCAACGCTGGCATCCTTAAGGCCAACTTTCTCAGCGGTTAGTTGCGATTTACATAAATGTTATCTGGGAACAACAAAGACCTTTCCTCCATCACACTTCCAGAGTCATCCACCAAGGACATCAAGGAGCTTTTCGACACGAATGTGGTGGCCACAGCCAGCTGCCTCCGGGAGGGTCTCAAGCTCATGGCTGAGGCTAATGTTCGTGGACATATTGTGGTGATGAATAGGTGAGTATCTTTATAGGGGATTCATGCAAATATTAAACAGAATATGAGAAGAATATCGAGTTATCAGATTTGTGAATATTTGAAAAAGGAACTTCATGAAGGACTCTAAAGTGCAAATAGGTGTAAAGTGTTTTATAGGAATATTTGTAGCCAGCTAGGAGAGTCATTGGGCTAGAAATAAAGTTAATACAGGGTTCCGTTCCGCCTCTCTCCTCTAAACTTTATACAGATCTGGACCAAATCTGGACCAAATCTGGACTTCTGGTTCATAATTAAATCATTCGATGGTAAATGCGAAATAGATTTCTTGATTAACAAATTTGAACAGAAATACAAATTCCTGTCTTTGGTAATTGTTGCAGTTTTCTGAGTGCTGTTTACCCAGCTGAAATACGAAAATTGGGCTTAAACTGAAATTACACAGCAACAGCCATGTGTGTGTGCATAGCGGTGGGGAAGGTAAATCAGTAGGCATACTCGCACATATTTGTTTTATGTATAGTTTTGCTTACAGGGGACACACACGGGCTGACCAAAAGCTTCTGCCTTGAGTGCCAAAATATTGTATTTGCCAAATTATGTATGTCGTGGGGGAATGCGTGAGTGCGTGGATGAAAGGGTGCAAGGGTGCAGGGGTGCAGGGGTGCAGGGGTGGGTGTGTCCGATCGGAGGGCTTAATGAAAGTGCAAACAGTGCAGCCGGGCAGTCCAGTCAATAGCCATGGCCAGTGTTGTTCAACGCATGCATATTGCATGATTCGCGCAAAAAGGACTCGGGTTCGTCTCGCATCGCCCGTTGATGGTGATGTGATGGTTGGGCTGGTGCAGAATAGTGAGTGGGGTTGGTGCGTTATTTAAATTAAATTAAAAGCCATGCGGCAAACAAACAGCACAGCAGCACAAACATTTATTGATATTTAAATGCTGAAAGCAAAGAGAGTGACAGGGAGTGAGACAGCGAGACAGCGACAGCGACAGAGAAAGAGAGACAGATAGGAGGACCAGAGAGGGTGACCAAGCACAAGCCAAGCTCTTCCTGTTCAATCATGTTCATCTCTCTCGCTGCTGTTGCTATTGCGATACCCTTGGAGAGGGTGATGGGACTTTGAGCATAATTAAAGCTTCCTTCTGGAATCGATTCTTGGCTGAAATGTATATCCCATAGCTGCCATATGAAAGCTGGAAAGCTTGAGAGGGTATCTGAAGCTTCGGCCTGGCCTCTCGACTCCATTCCTTTTGTTGTTGCTGGTGTTGTGCTTTTGCGGTGTGGGTGTGCATTAAAAGCTTTGCATGCCCAATGTGTTTGCACAAACAACTCCAGAGTCCAGAATCCAACAGCAACAGCCGCAGCAACACCAGAACCAGAACCAAGCAATAACAGCAACAACAATAATAACAGCAACTCAATTATTCAACATAATTAAGTATTTTGCATTAAGCTGAATGCGTATTGCATTTGCATTTTGCCATTCCCCCCGCAGTTCGGCCGTCGATGATTTTTATTATTTCATGAATTGCAATGCGCGACGCATTTAAAATCAAAAATGTTGCGCATTAAGCCGAATGTTTGATTTGCGCTATGGCTTTAATTTCAAATTGCATTGATTTAATTTTAATGAAATTTACTTGAGTGCACACACAAGCGAGTGCACACCACAGGGACCCCAATAGCAGATAGCAATTACGAGTATTGCCGTTTGCCGATGAGCAAATGGATAAATTGAATAATTGCGTACACGCCGACGGCCCACGGGCGGACATGTTTTTCCCATGTCAAATTCATGGAATACAAATTGTATGTCCAAGTACTATAAAGTCAACATGAAATGGAAGAGCTATAAGTGAAGCTATAAGTAAAGGTTTTCCATAAAAACTCCTCCATATACTCCACTATTCCTTTTCTTCCTTAAGGCTCCTTAAGGGAAATTCCATCCATAAATGCACATCACATTTTTCCGCCACAATGGGATGCGCACACGGAGGACCTTATTGTCAAAACCAAATACAATTGAGCGGGGCAGTGCAGTGCGAAAGGAAACTTCGAAATTCGCAAACGTTAATTAATGAGAAAATGTATTTATTTGATGGGCGGTGCGTTGGGAGTCAAAGACAATGCCCGGCCGGAGTGGAGTGGAGTCGAGTCGAGGCCGAAACTGTCCTCTGAGGCGTTGCTAATGAGCGTGTGACGCTGTGGGGCGGGCCAGCGGTCCTCAATATGCATTTCGCTTAATGTCAATGAAATAATATTAAGACTTAATTAATTAAAAAAGTGCACTGGGCTGCTGGCAGGACGACGTTGGCTGGGGCTGGGGCTGGGGCTGAAGCTGAGGCTGAGTGTGCAGCTGTTTGCTTTAAATGCCCTCGTCCCCGAAAAACGCATGGCTACAGTCACCTGGCTGTTAAATTAAAGAAGTTTACGCAATGTTTGCACAAAATGCACGGCGACATGCAGGCAGATGGGCAGAGACAGGACTCCGACTCGTACGCGGACGCGGACACATTCTTTGAGGCATGCAAAGTGCGGATTGCAGGGGGCGGGGGGTGTTGCCTGTGGAGGCCGTGTCAGCTGCTGACCGCCATTTTTCGTAAGTGTTGCTGCTGCTGTTCCGGGGCCGCTGTCTCCGCCATTGTTTTTTTCGTCGCTGTTTTAAGTGCTTAAATCCGTTATGTTGACTTTATTTACCCACACTCACGCACACACGAACACACTTTGTCTGCCTCCTTATGTGCCCACACTGCTGCGCCGCCGTTTGACAGCGTCCTCGGGCATCGCATACCGGAAGTGCCGGTACCCTTATTCAGCGTTTATCCGGCCACGAAGCATGCAATTACGGCACTCTGCCAAACGGTGCGCCAGGAAATACATTTTCTCAAATTAAATATTAAATTAACGGTAAGTTAAATGCAGTGCATACATGGCACTCCACTCGCCACTCGCCACCCTCCAACCCCCATTATCAATCACCCTCCTCGACCATTGGTTGAAAATTTGCATGCCCATCAAACATGACGTACGCGTCTGGTTACCAAGCAGCACTCGAACTCCTACTCGTACTCCTACTCGTACTCCTCTTTATCCCCGCCAGAGCATCTGTCCCGGAATGGTGGACACGGAGTTTCTCAGTGTTTACTCGGAGGCGGTGGCCGAGCTGCCCAAACTGCAGCCCCTGGAGGTGGCCAAAGCCGTGCTGTATGCACTCGATACGCCAGATGGAGTTCAGGTCGAGGAAATAATCCTGCAGCAGATGCGAAAGGTTAATTAATGTCACCAGTAAATCGATGGCCACATGTTAGATGGCTAGATAGAATCTGTATTTTACTCCCAAATATCTGCACAGTTTATAAACAATATTTCTGCACTTAGTTATGTTTTATATTCTTTGAAACACCCATTAAAATTGATTGATGCAAATTAGACTTTGAATAAATGTTGATAAGCATAATACATTTGATAAATAAATTAAAATAAAATAGCTCTCATATTAAACACCTTATTTATGTGTATTTTGAATGTAAATCAAGTGATAAGATATGCATCTTCCATGCTGTCTTAGAGTCTTCGATTTTTGCAGATGAAAAAACTTCAATACCATTAATATTTATATATACATTCACGTATGCAATCCTTACTCAGTTTTCCTCATCAACAGCTTGACACATTTTTCCCTCCTCCGCCGCACAGACACGGGAATGAGCATTATCGATAATCTGGCATAACATATTCCATTATACTTTGATTGTTCCCTCAACAACAGGCCATGAATATTTGTATTGGCATTCGAGTATTCGTTTTCCACCTGACTGGCGGCTGCTCCGAGTCTTATCGTATTTTTGTAATTACTGAACAAGAGATTCGGTTTCAGAGCGGGGGAGAGCTCTGAGCAGGCATTTGGATGGCTTCATGTCGCCGCATGCCTCAGTGGGTCTGCTGGCAAATCAAAAATCAACTTTATCTCTCGACTGGACTGGAGGAAAGTATTTGCATACCAGCAAGCTCCAACCGAAGATACTCAAGCGGCAAATACTCAAAAGCCACAGAGAGAGAAGCTCAAAAAATTCACACAAACGGGACAGGACAACGTTGCAGCTGACAGTCGTAAAATGCAGGTGAAGCTTAGCCAGGAGCAGTCGGGAGTCAGGCGGAGCCAGGTTGATAGTCATGAATGCTGTCACAACGAGCCTTTTGTGCATTCACAGATGCAATCGGGCGCTAGTCAGGCAATTGTTTCGATTGGCTCGGCCGTAAATTTCATCGCATTCATGTGGTACAGTTGTGCAAGCTGTTAACTAACAGCGATCCAGCAGGCCCCGAGCCTTGAAAATCAATTGGAGAAAAGCCATCAAACAAAACGCTCACAGAATTTATGGGGCTATAAACTACAAGTGGCCAGATAGAGGATAGAGGCCCTGACTTGGTGGTCATCAAAGTCAAACTGGCAGCCGCCAAGCAGACCCCGCAGATGTACAATAGTAAATATTTTGGGACGACCTCATTCTATGGGAAGTTTCCCTGAAAATTGATTGAAAATTGGCGGATAGAATATACTTGAGTTTATTTATTTTCTACCGCTTTCTGTGCGGCGAGTGTGGATGGTCTGGAGCGGGTAGGGGGGGTCTGAAATAAATGAAAAGCTGGCGTCATGGTGGAATTTATTGTTGCATACTTTTCGGCTCAGCGCGCGCTGTGGCATGCAAAAAGCAAACGAAACGAAGCGCGAAAGAATTTGTGTTGCACACATGACGGTGCAGGCGGCTAACCCCCGCAGTCGTGCCGCCCTGCCCCCCGCAACGTTGCCTCCTCTGTCGGCCTTGTTTATTTTTCGGTTAAGCCCAAATATGCATTTTTCATGGCACATCCAGCACAACCACAGCCCCTGCCCGTGCCTTTTGCTGCTGTTGCTTTCCATTATAATTGTAATAACATTTGTCGAGGCCGAACTTATATTTCATTTACGAGTATTTCTGGCAATTAGCGTTGCTGCTCGGCGCCGCGTTTATTATATTTATATCACTCATACGTCATGTGTTCAGGCTTGCACTTTGGCGCTCTCTAAATCGAATAAAACGAAGCTCTGGGCAAAGTACATGGCAACAATGGCCACAATGGCCACATGAAAATACTCGCGGCATGTGCAAACAAAACGTCCAATTAAATTAGAAAAACTTTTCCTGCAAGCCGGAGCCGGAGCCGGAGCATTTAATTGAATTCCTTTGCGCTTTAACCACCTCCTCCGACTCCGACCAAGGATGGGGTGAACTATAAAATAAAATAAAACTTGTAAGCTTCACTCGAACAAACTCGTACATAAATAACGTAGGTATATTGAAGGAACCTTTTTAAATAAGCATTTCGAGTGCGGGGAAGTTCAATGTAAAATACTATAGATAAATTCTTGGCTGGAAGTTTGCTTTGGCCGCAAACTCCGACAGAAATCATTTAATTGACTCACTCTCCAAGTGGAAAGTATCCAACGTTTTCACTTATTCACTCACATATCCCCAGTCCTTCCCTAGTTCATCCATTGTCCCTGTTCACACGCAATCCACAGAATGTTTGTTATGTGACAATTAATCAAAGGACGACAGAATGATTTAATTAAGTGCCACGCCCACAATTGACACCTGTACAACATGACACTTTAGAGAGTGAAGGAGAGAGTACACGAGAGCGAGACAGGGACATGGCAAGGGACAGGAGTGAGCGTAAGACGACTTCTAAAAAGCAACTACAAAACTTTGTTGGAATTTTAAAGCGTGTAAAGCGACAGCTGCCATGGGGCGAGGACAGGAAAGCCATTTTGAAACCCAAAAAACTATGCGAACAATTTTAATGTAAAATGGCAAACGGTGTCGGGCATAATGCTGCTGCTGTTGTTGCTGTTGTTGCTATGGTTGTTTCTGCCGTTATAGCCACACGCAGGCACATCGCACATCGAGACAAAATTTGATTAAATTAAAATTTACTTTAATTAAACAAGCGTCGCAAATGTCTCATTTACGCTTCAATGACATGACAAAACAGATGAGCCAGAGGGACCTGAGCGGAGCGACCCACAAGTATCCCAGTGTCTGGGTGTGTGTGTGTGTGTGTGTGTGTGTGTGGGTGGGTGGGTATTCCAGTGCGGCCTTAATGTTTGCGTGTTTTGTGGTCTACTGACAATTTGTGTCCTTCTACCCCTCCCCCAAAGGGGTCAGGCAGCAGCACAATTTTTGAGTTGGTTCCCCAAAAATTGTTGGCAACATTATAAAGTATGTTTGTTTTTTTGGCTGCGTTGCGAAGCACAGAAACTGCAATTACATATATTAAATGCTCGTCCGCCCAGAAGTATGCTAACCATTTGTGGCAGCCTTTCGGCCCGAAAGGGTTGAGTGGGACTGGGCGGGGGGCTCACGGGGGGCTGCCATTAGGCGGCACATAAGCCTCGCTTAAGTCCAACTAATTAGCCCAAATTTGTTAGCAGGCTACGCAGCCACCTGATAAGTGGGCAGAAAACGAGACTAATGCAGGGTAGGGCGGTGCATGCTGGAGCCAGGGTAGACAGCACAAAGGTGGAAGGTGTTTGGGGTTGCTTTTTGGACGTGAAGTTCTTGCAGGTCCCTGCAAGTATAGGCTTCTAAAAATGCCTCAAACCCAAATTCATAGGGTCCCCTCTGTAATTCAAAAGAAAGGTCCTCCGACCTTGTACAGGGTACACGCCGGTTCTGCTCCACTTCCGATCACGTTCCGTTCCAGGGTGGGGCTGGGCTGTACTCCCATAAAGACTTAACTCTGCTGCATTTAGCGCTAAGCGAATGCACGACCACAAAAGTTTTTCGGGGGGTGTTCGGGTGTGCGGGTGTGGCAGTGGCAGTGGCAGTGGCAACTGGCAAACTGCAACGGCAGCTCGGATGCTGGTGCGGCTGCAGCTGCTGCTGCTGCTGCCAAGTGTTGCAAGTGTGTTGGTGTTGCCAGTTGTTGTTCAGGTTGTTGTTCTGGTGTTGCTCGGTCTGCTGCTGTGCTTGTTTCTGGCACTTTATTGGGGAGGGGCCGCCGCCCCTCGGAATCCCCTCGCCAGACGGGGGCTATTATTTGATGTTATTTATGAGTTGCAGACGTTAAGACATGAATTGCCGAAACACACACTGGCGAAAACACCCACTCACCTGCTGCCACACGGCACCACAGCCACATTAGATATGCAATGTTATTTTCATTTCACAGCAAAAGTTTCCCCTGGCTGGCGGTGTGGCAATTAGAGGAAAGTGTTAAGGACGCCGCCACCGCCGCCACCGCCGCCGCTTTCATTAGAAGCGACTTGAAGCAGAGTTTCCATTTCCATTTTTTGGCAGCCTGACGAGCTGCCATTAGGATACACCAACGTCCCTCCGCCCCGCACTGAGCGAAATCTAAATGTGCATTAAGCTGCAAGCAGAATGAGCAACTTTTGTGTGGGCTGCGTCTCGGATTGCGTCTTTGGCTGTGGGCTGCTAAGCCGGACGGACCCGTCCAAGTTTTTACAGCAGGGCGCTCGTGCATGTCGCCGGCGATCCTCGCCAGCTACCACTGCTGCTGGCTGCTGGCTGCCACAGACACTGCCGCTGCCACTGCCACTGCCGCAGGCATAAATCACGTGCACAGCGCTCACAAGAAAGTTTTGATTTGTGAAATCAAAAGCCATTTGCCGAGCTGCAATCAGCACAAACATTGTATGCAGCAGCGGCAGCGGCAGCGGCAGCGGCAGCGGCAGCATCGGACCCGAGAAGAAGGAAGGAAACTTTTGCTTTTTGGCACTCGTCAGATATGGATGCCATCACCACCAGCCAACAAGGCTGCACCGAGGATACACCAGCAGCGGTGGTGAGGTCTTGGAGGCGAAAGTCTTGGTCCTGCAAGTTTTTCTTGTTGCGAAAGTTTTTAATAGTTTGTTGGCGCTTTCGCTGATTTGCTGCAAAGCAAAGTTTTCTTTTTCCTTTCCTCCAGCATCTCTCTGCACCCTGGAGCTGCAGTCCGGTGCGGCAAGGTGGCCTTAAAGTATGCATCGCAATGCTTTGGCATGCTAAATTTCAATGGAGTCCCTAATGAAGAGGCAGCTGTCCAGCTCCCAATACGCAAGTGGGTTGCCCAAACATGTCATCTGCTGCTGGGACTCTACGATGTTGTGGGAGGGCACTCCCTCACTCTTGCTCTCGGGTTTGTCCTCTACTTTGCATGTTTTCGGCATTCAGTAGAAGAGTATGGGTACATGGTATTGCTGCAGATCAAACCTCTGAGAATGCTCTCCGAGATAAACAGACTAACCAACACAATACAGATACCTGATTCAGCCTGAATTCATTCTGGTTTTACTGCAACCCATTGTCATTGCCCCACTTTCAGCTCTTTTTAAATCCTAGCAAAGGATACTTTCAAGTCGGACGGCCCCACTAAAGTGTTCC